AACGCCTTGGCTTGATTTTCTAAACTTCCCCAACCCACCTTCTTCTCGCGATCCCTTTTCCTCTGGTTGACGGTAGGTCCTTGATCCGGGCGTCTCCTTTTTGCTTGCTGTATCCTTCTTTTCTCCCTCGTTGCTTGAGCAATAAGCAAAGTTTTCGCTAACTCTGCCCTCCTCCAATCTCATGTTCGTTAAATTGGTCTCCGCAAGAATGTCAATGGCTTTCCAAATCTTGCGTCTCCTTGTCTTGTCACCGCATGCGGCCCTCTTTTCAGTTGCCTCCCGATTAATCTCGTATCAGGTCCATGCGATGTCTTCCGCTTTATCGGATCTTTTGGTACACATTTTCCAGAAGGCTCTTTGATGTTCCTTCATGTGCATTCTAATCTTTCTCCCTGTTTCTCCAAACTATTTCCGTTCGCAGACGCCTCATGCCATGCAGTAAACTCTCGCGTAATCCAATTTGTCCACTCTCACATGTCGTGTGATTTGACTTGTGAGGAACGTCATTTTTTCCGTCCTCGCTACATGAATATCCCATTTTCTTACTATTGGCCGTAGTTTTTGAGTTACTTAACAAGGATCTAGGCTATCCAGCTTTGTGAGTATTTCTCCATCTTTCCTTTTCATTCATACTCTCGTCCCGCCATCGCATTTTCACAGCAAGTATGTTTCTCTGTATTACTTCGCTTGGGTAGCCGTTGCTGAGGGATATCCGAGACAATTTGCCCAATTCCACTTTTATCTTAAAAGACACAAACATTTTGATAGGGTTATTGAGATGCTTCACCAGGCCTCCATTCAGAAGCTAAGAGAATCATATGATATGAAAAGTAATAATGTATGCAAGTTCATAGATATTCAATCAATGCTCCGCTGTTATCCTGCCAGGATTCTGACTCTGGAAGCGTATCAAAAACTACAGATTATGACCCAGAGGAAATCATATAGAAGCTCTGACTTCATAACAAAAAGACACGATAAAATGTTGCTTAGATATTGTATCATAAGAAGGCTTAAGTGAAAGCCGGCGCGTCTAGTTGATGTGGTTTTCGAGGTGGCACCGCCTACTCATGAGTAAGAGGATCGGGATAAAGGAATGAATTTAGCCTTGCTTCCTCTTGATCCCCAATCCACTACGCTCCCGATGAAGGGACCAATCTTTTCTTTCCAAAATGACAGAAATATTCTCGAATACAACCCGGTGGACGTAATCACCATCTCCGACAAGTTCCCTGAGGAGGCAAAAGGGCAAGTGGAGATAGGAATAATCGCAAGGACATTGACGCAGAACCCAATAAATGAATGAACCATCAGTCCTTCGGACGGACAAAGAAATAGCGACAGTTGTAATGGACAGGAGACAAGATATTGATACAGTGGAATGTAGATTACGAGACAGGACCAAGTATCGTGCAAATGGAACGCAAAAAATCAACGGATAAGAAAGGATGTACGACCATCAACAGCTTACGGGCAATGGAAGATACAGAAACAACAACAACAACAAGTATGGAGTAACACACAACTTGGCAAAGTTCATATTCTTTAAAGTTAAAAAGATAAACGACAGATTATCAAACATAGCGAGACATTCATACGAATGTTGTTAAATAATCAAAAGCAGGACACTAGAAGGAACAGAATTATTGGTAAGTTTTGATGTACAATTTATGCATACACACATCTCTGGAGAAAAGGCACTAACGGCTCCGCTGAAGATTTTGCTCCGAGAAAAGGATATCGTAGAAGAAGAGGCAAGTGTATAAACCGGATTAATGAAGGAATCAAGTTTACAATGGAAGTAGAGGATGACAGTCTATCTTATTCCTGCTACATGGAACTGCAGATTCGACCCTACTTCATCGTTTCATCAGCTCTCCCAACAGGATTCGATATCGGGTCGTGAGGATTGTGGCGACGGTACCATTTTGCCACATGCCCACAAGTGCCAGTCGGTCACAGAGCAGATGTGAACTTCAAGTCTTGTCAGAGCGCTCCATTCTCACATTTCCAGTCGGTTTGCCGATGACACAAACTTGTGTATGCTATCACAATTGACCACACTACTTATATACATGTTGAGTAGTATTATAAACTACCAGTAGATCATGAGTGAGAGGCGTCTTCTCTCTGGTTATTGGTCAAAATCGAGAGGTTGTTCGAAACCCAGTCCTTATAAAAATAAGCAATGAAGTCGATCATAATAGCAGAGACAAGTTTGCTTCATCGACAATGCCACCACCAAATTTGGTGTGGAAAAAAACCCAGAAAACGTTGAAGCGCACATCGGCTCTGTGACCCAGGGACACTCGGGACACCGTGGCGCAGTGGCAGCATGCCGAAAACAAAGAGTGCCATACCACAAACTGGGTTCTATTCCCGTTGGGGGTTAGAGCTGCGAACCCAGTCCAGTTCAGGTCATCCGAGATGAGAATAGCTTCTGGGAGAAAAGGCGTAGTGAAATTGAATGGCATCGTTGAGGCAATTTAAACCATATCATTTTTCGTATTTGAGTAGAGTTTCGAGACTACCAATAAATCTGTAATATGAAATGAATTCACCCAATTTCGTTTAAGTTGATGAAGGACTGGTAGTACAATTTTCCCACAATGCTATGAGTTGAGCTGACTTTTCCATTTAATTTCACAGAGCCTTGCTTTCCCAAAAGTTCTTCTCATCCAGGCACCAATGGACTGCAGTTTCCACCTTGCATCAGTCTTATCAACACCCCCAGTCGGGAGTCTCATGGTCCTTCGTTACCTTAAACGAAATAGGGTGAATTCTTTTCATATTACATATCATTTTTGTCATTATACAGCTCTTGCTTAAAACTAGCTGTCGAATGTAGACTATCTGTATCCAATTCAAGAAGATGATCGTCATATGACGAACGGAATTTAAGCCTGTTTTCGTCCGAAACGAGGAAAGATGTCGCATGAACTGCGCCAATCTGAACCTCATATTCAAGCAAAAAGGCCAAACAACAACCTAAATCGACCTTCATACATGTATGTATGTATGTATATATGTATGTATGTATGTATGTATGTATGTATGTATGTATGTATGTATGTA